GTTGTTCCCGGTTTGAAAATTGATGCTAAACATTGCTCAATCCTTTTAAAACAGTTGAACAAATGTCTGCTTAATCAGCCAAAATTAAGAAACATTGTCCCCGATACTGAGGATAATTCAAGGAAGAAGATTGTTTTATTAAATCCAAACGTTTCATTAACCGAAGGGGACGAGGAACTGTTAAAGAAGTGCAATTGTGAAAGGGTACAATATGAGCTTAGTTTGGATTATGAATATTGGAATTCTGATCAAGTCCTGAGGGCTGTACTGCCTGAAGATATTGGGGAAGTCACTACTGCGTTTGAAAGTGTTGGTCATATTGCACATATGAATTTGAGGGAGTGCCAGTTGAGTTATAAGCAGTTAATTGGTAAGTCGTTAAGGCCTCGGGCCAGACTGTAAAGTATTACTTTTGTGCGGGCAACGTTTCCATTGTAAATGGCAGTTGCACGGAAATGAATGCAGAACATTTGAGAGTGGTTGCATAACTTCCACAAATATATGCCACTATGGGGATGTCGGGCAGAAAAATTCAGAGTTTTCTCTACCTTTTCGCAAGGCCCAACACGTATAAAGCTTGACAAAATAAATCATTAGTTAGAGCTGAGCACTCCCATCGGTTAATATCGATTGATCGTATTGATAAGTAATTTAAATATGACACCATGTCAATGGTGGTTTGACAGGTTTGTAAATTGTAATTAAACTTTTTACTAAATTTTTGGGGGTTGCACAGTCAGTATAAATGTTTAAAATCTTCGTTTAAACGTTAATCACAATTATAGATCTCGCACTCTTTACCACTTCGCACAAGAGACATGCATGAAAAGACAGAAATGATATTAAGGATGTTGAAATGACACTTCAAACACTCATTACTAATTCATAAGCTTATTGGCAAATCATGTCCACTATAATATGTCACGTGCAGTGGCTTTAATTAAACCCGATAAAACACTCCTAATTAGTATTCTTTATATAAAGAACACTAATAAGGCAGTATCTATTGTTGTCGTGTCCTCATTAGTATTTTTTATATAAAGAATACTAATAAGGCGGTATATCTATTGAATTTGTGTAGTCTGTCGTGTTTGAAGCCGTTTAATAAACTCGCAGGTCGTGTTTTATTAGGTCTAAAGCCACTCGCGCTGCACGCTCGTGTCTTTAAACCTAGTAAAACACTCCTGCTCATTTATTAAACAGTACTTTAGTTGTTTACCTATGTAAATTTGCGAGACTTGGACTTTCATGGATATTTGGTTTATATTCGCACGCCGCAATGTTGGATGTAAATGGTAATATTAATGGCACTGGTAAAATACCCAATCAGACTATGGTAAACTTTGCACGCTTTGCATGAAATTGATATTACCCACAATGTTTTGAATAGATTTGTCATTTAATGTTTAGTTAGATAGTAAAAACTTTATTAAACATGCTGTCCCCGTCAACCAAAGCTGATTTCCACAAGGGGCGTGTAGAGCTATTTACAAAAATAAGGCAAAATACTGAATTATTTACATGATATGAATGTTATTAAAATATTTACAGGCACATCAGTTTGCTTATTATTCTTTTATTCTTCTTCTCTTAATTTGCCTTTTATTTCAAAAGGAAGAAAGAGTTTTGCTTTCCCTAATTTTCATTGGAATAAAATTCCAAAGGTATACTCAATCATAGAGGAAACTATTTTTCATATTGTTAAGTATGCAGATTTGGTAAACTAAGACCACTTGAAATTTCCCGAAGATTGTAATTTTTTTTCTCACGTTTGTATGAAAAAAGATTAGTAAATGATTTGGGACCCATTTTATTTAACACTTTGTGCATCATTTTTGCCTTAGCTTCGATCCTTTCTGTTTTGTGTGGTTCCCAGCCTAGTGCATGTAAAGCAATAGTAAGAATGATTTACGTCATTGTTCATATCCATAATTATAACTCTAGTTTCAGTTGTTTCAATCACAATCAGGGTTCGTAGCGGTCTTTGAAATCCTTGAAAGTCTTTAAATTTGAATGCAGGTCTTTAAGGTCTTTGAAAAGTCTTTGCATTGTGTGAAAAAGCAAAGAAAGTCTTTAAAAGTCTTTAAATTTTTTAGTGAGTATTTGATAATACACGATTTCCTAGCTAATAACATAGATTGACTGAAGCAAGATTTTCGCAAATTAGAGCTGCTCCCGATTAATCGATCAATCGATTAATCGATTATTTTTCCACAATTGATTATGCTTAACA